CAATTTCTTCTCAAGAACCACTAAGCCAATTTCAACCAAACTTGCCACAAAGCATTTTTGGATAAAGGCAATTAAAGTTTATTCAAATGAAGGATCAAGCCCTCTTTCAAGAAGAGATAATCAAGAATTAGTGAAAAAATATCATCTTTATAAAAAATTCTTCTCAAGAACTAATGGGCCAGAATAGAGGTAATTTATGTGAAAAAATCATAAATAATATAGATTTTAGTATGTTCAAATCATAACTCCTTAGGGTAGGCGGGACTACATAGGCGATCAAAGTTTTACATAGTAATATATAGGAAAAATATTAAAAAAAATCTCTTCAAGAAAACTGGTCAGCAAAGCTGTGATTAGTAACATTCATACAGAAAAATTCTTACGTAGTGTAGATTAAAGTTTATTCAAATCATGATCCTAGGGGATAGAATGGGGCTACAAGAGGAGATCCAAGTTTTTCATACCATAAGAAACACAGGAGAAAATCTTTAAAAATCTTCTACTCAAGAACAACAAAGCCGTGATTATTCATATCTATATAGGAGCATCTCCAGGTAGTGTGGATTCATGTTTGTTCAAATATTGCCGCTCCCACGCCCTACTAGGATCATTGGTAGGTCATATGCATCTAAATATTGAAGCATTCTTAGGTTGTGAAGATTCAGCTTGTACAATTATGACCCCGGTGTCGGCTGGATCCACAATAGGAGATCAAAGTATACATAGGAATTTATAGGAAAAAATGTGAAGCATCCTCAGGTAGTGCAGATTCAAGTTTGTTCAAATAGTCGCCCTTGGTGGTAGGACGGCATCACAATAAGAAATCAAAGTTTTATACAGGAATATAGAGGGAAAATTCTTACTCTTATGAACAGCAAAGCCATTACTAGTTATATTGATATGCAAGCATCATCAAGTATTTTAGATTCAAGTTTGTTCAGATCAGATCAGGACCCAGTAGGCTACAGTAGGGGATCAGAGTTTACAAGGAAGTATATAGGAATAAATCTTTTTAAGAGTTGCAAGACCATACTAAATTATATTAAAAAGCAAAACATACCTAAGTTCTGTGAAATCAGTTTTTTTAAAAATTGAATTTTGATCCCTTGGTCTAGGGTTGGGCCAAAATTAGAGATCCAAATTAAATTTATTGCGTGTATACAGGGAAAAAGAAATTCAACTTTGATTAAGTGACTCAGGTGAGCGTTGTGGCCCATTAGTTTTTATGACCACTAAACTTTTATTTATTGGAATAATTAATATACACTGGAGGCCTTTAATCCAAATGCCAATCATTTGGCCAATACACCTAACTTAAATTAAAAAAAAGTATAATTCAGTAATCGAGGCTCCTAATTTATCATTACAATTTGCTATCAGGATTAACGAGGCTCTTCTGTGTCTGTAAGATTTAGTTTTAGATTTGTTGTAATGGCATTATGATTCAATTACATCTTTAATTCGGATTTTCATGAATGAGATATATATTTTTACAGTGTGTTAACGAGACACGCTTTTAAAGTGTCCAATTAGTGTAATAAGCCGTAAACATACTTAATTGTCTCTGAAGACATGCAGATTTAAATGATATATGTAATTTAAAATTGCGATTTTGCTAAATAAATATGCATTTCTCTATCGAGTCCAAGTCTTTTTTAAGATTCAGTTGGCAAAATTTTGTTGTATTATATTACTGTAGCGTGTTTTAAATATTTGGTAAAGTTTTCATTTTAGATTTACCTGTAGCAGTGCGTTGTTTAAAGAACGAACACATACGATCATCATTTTTCTTTTTTAAGTAACATTATTGTAGAAAAAAATTGATTTAAAAAAATGAATGGAATCATTCAAGCTCTCGAAGCATTTTACCATGCTTATGATTAAAACAGTTTTTATATGCCTTAGTCTGTTATTGAATATTAAAAGGATATATGAAGACCGTAAGTAAAACTGTTGTTAAATTTCAACTGCGAGTACCTGTGTAAATACAAAGTGTATAAAATGAAGGATCTCATGGACTCATGGCCCTCCTTAAATCTTGTACAGGCTAGAGCACTCCCGCATACCAGGTAACATATGAATTTGTTTTAAACAATTATTGGATATTTTATTTAAGAAATAAGGAATCATTGTAACACTTTTATCGGGAAGTAAATATGGGTTTGTCATGTGATCAAATCCTCTAAACCCGAAGCGTTTTAATGTAGATTTGATCAACTACCAACCCATATTTACACCGCGATAAATATTTAAAAATAATACCTTATTACTAATATTCATATTTGTGACTGATTTGTAACAAATATTTGAACCAATGAAATGATTTTTTTTTTCAAACTTCAACGGTATTAATTGAAGTGTTAAACACGTCGACCTCTTATGACATCACTGTGAAATTACGGCGATCTTTAAAGAATAAACAATGAATTTATGGTCATGTGACGAATCTGCTTATACAGGCCTTGTTTAAATAGTGTTATAGAAGGGAAATATTTGCAAATTTAAATATTCGATTTTATAAATCAAACACCAGTATTTTATTGATTATCTGCATACCTATACAACTCTTTTACTGTAACAGTGGAAGTCAAATCTAGTTCGTTTATTTCACATCTTTTCTAATCTGCTAAATCGAGTTTAACACTTCAGGTTTTTTAAGAAATAATATATGTGATAAATGGATAATTACATGACAGAAATGCCAAATTGTCTGTATATACAAGTAAGTATATTTTTTTATATTTCCTGTGATGGAATGCTTTGTGTTACATGTAGATACCGCAAGAATTTATAGATTACATGTCCAAATTTCACCTTAATTTGTGATAAAAATATTGAATCAGGTATAATGTTGAATAGTACCTTTTTGTAAGTAACACCTTTTGAAATTATTTGGGAAAAAAGTCAAATATTTATAATTTATTGATATTTTATATTATACAGAAACAGGTGTCTTGTTTGGGAAATAATACCTATGTAAAACGTTTAACTATCAACACTTTCTGAAACAAGAGACCCGAGGGCCTTAACGGTCACCCGAGTATAAGACAACAATTAAGATGATCCATAGATTATGACATAAGCTTATAAGCATTGTTGCTCAAAAGCAAGAGAAATAGGATGATCAGGATCAATTAAAAAAAGTCTAGTATTCAGTAACAACTCATAAATTAAATTTTAATTCCTTTATCACTAATCACCATACCGATAATTAACAAAGTATTAATGCTTCTGTACTATATTAAACCACATACCATAACCTCTCATATAGGTCTCTCTTGGAGAACTAGTAATTATATGAGTTATTTTTGTCTATTTTTAATTTATCTATTATTGACAAGTCTAACTGATCATTTAAACTATAAAAGTAATTTCTGCTTTATACAATAAAATTCTTGCATAATTCAATTATTCCTTTAAGCTTTCAAATACATTATTTACTTACAGTTATTAATTATCCAAAGTAAATGGCAAAGGGGAATAATTTCTCTCAGTATAATACAAATCAAAAGAGCACTGGCCAGGACCAGAACACTTGTAAAAATGGTCCAGATGTACAAAAATTTGGTAAAGAACCCTTGCTTATTAAAACTTTTACACCATTTGCCTCCGATATGCCCAGAGGCAGAGAAGATTTTTAAGAAAAAATGTTTTTTCACTATAGATTCAACGCAGTTCCACCCTAACATCAGAACCCATTACTCATGGTCATGAAATTTACAAATTTGGAAGAGGTTTCTTCCTCTTCATCATATCTATGCAATTAGGGTTTAAAGAATTAACACATTTTCACTAATTATCAATAGACTTTTCCCCCAAAAATCCCCAACCAGAACCTCTGACACTGGACCACAAGTTTCAAGATTTTTTGAATGAAGCACCAATACTCACCATAGCTATGCACTATGTGAGGCTACTCATCACCAAGTAGCAGACAAGAACTTTTAAATAGAATTAATGCATTTCCACTATATTATCAATAGAGTACCGCCCTAACACCAAACCCTGACCCAGGGGCTATATTTTTAATGATTTTAGAAGGCGCACCCTTGCTCATCATAACTATTACTCAGTCTGTTTTATACCCAGGAAAAGAGAAGAAGATTTTTAAAAAATAACGCCTTTCCACTATATTTTTAACTATTTTTATTATATAATCAATAAAGCCCCACCCAAACACCAGAATGGGGCAATGAAACTCACAATTTTGGAAGCGACAGCCTTGCTCATCATGATGATTTACTTAGTTACCCTGTGTAATACCCAGTAGCAGAGAAGAAGATTTTCAAAGAATTAAAACTATTTCACTCTATGATCTATATAGCACCGAATCTTCTGACCCTGGGGCCATGAATTTCTCAATTTTGGTAGAGGACTCAATGCTTATAATAATGATGACACAGTTCATTTGCTTAATGTCCAGGAGTAAAGAAGAAGGTTTTTAAAGATTTCACCAATTTTGATAGTTCTAGCCAGGCTTTTCAGGCTCCAGAGAGAGAGAGAGAGAGAGAGAGAGAGAGAGAGAGAGAGAGGATGCAGGGGCTATGAAATTCACAATCTTTGTTTTCCTTTACTCACATACGCTGTATGCCAAAACTGGTTAGAATTAGTTCAGCGGTTCCAGAGAAGAAGTTGAAAATGTTCAAATGATAACGAATGACGCACATCATACAACGCACGACGCAGGACAGAAACAGATAGCAGTAAAATGCAAATAATTATAAAATCATTTTAACTATGAATTCTTTTTAATTTCAGTTGATATTCAATTGAATATAAAAAAGTTATATTGTTTCCATGCATTTATTAAAGAAAAGTTTTAAACTTTGTTCATATTCGAAGATTTGAAGCCAGGCCCATACTTCAGAGCTGAAAAAAAAAAAAACATATCACAGTTATTTTGACTTTTTAATATACAATAGTAGTGCAGTAATAGTAAATGAAAGCATTGACATAGTTTTTTTTCTGTTAGAGAATTCTATGAAGTAATCACATTTTACCATCCACATTTGTTCTGGTAAATAGCGTACGTCCCTTGCAACTTTTATCTGCTATCTTCCACTAAAAAGGCACAATTAAAAACATACTCTCAATCTAATAGTTACTTTTCAAAATTTCAAACATTGTTGTCTTGCATGTTTTCTTTAAAAACAAACTGTCCAAAATCAATGACAGTTTTGGGTGTTGATGAAACGATTCATGTATATCATAAACAGCTACGATTTCAAACAGTTTTGAGGTGCTTGATGAACCTGAAATTATAAGTGATTTGTGGTTCTGTCGATTTGCTTTTGCTTTTCTTTGCCTAAACTATATGTAAAATTTTAAAACAATATGGATTAATTTCAAATTAAAAACTATAGATAATATTCACATTCCCCTACATTTCGAGGCTTTTAGCAGGAAATACAAAAATTACCTCCATTTTTTAAAAAAAAAATTAATGATCAAATTATTATTTTTTTTTTTTTAGATGAAACTGTTTATCAAGAAATATAAACAAAAATTAAGAGCTTTCGTCATTTTGATCAATGGCAAGAAACTAGTGAGAAACAAATCGATATTTGCAGAAAATTTGCAAAAATACAATACACTCAGTGTAAAGACACATTAAACCGTAAACTAACATAAAAATGCACGATATATCCTGCTCAAGGGAAAGTCTAGTAATTAATTGTGGAAAGCTGTTTTGATCTTAGATCAATTTTAACTTGAAAATACGTTTCCTTTACAGTACTCAAAAGCCATTGTTTGATGATATGAAATTCTAAAGCACTAAATGTAAAAAAGCTTTACTATAATAAAAACAACTCTTGATGAAGTTTCTCTACGATATCAACTATAGACACATCTGGAAAAATTGAAGATTTCAATACGTTACAAAGGTCAACCTATGTGCCCGAGTCATTAACTTGAGGATAATGATCTTTTTCCTAATTTTGGAAGAGGAGAAAATTCTCCATTGAATCATGTAAATACTTATCCAGCTAAATGTCAAGAAGTTAAGACGAAGAAAGTTTCAAAGGTAATTCAATTTTTGACGTTTCTGACAACTGTACAAACTCGATTCAAAAGATTCTGAAATGTGCTTTCCTTTCCTTCTTCATTCTCGATTCAACATAAAAGGTTTTCTTTTTAATAACTCTAAAATTCCCTTGATCTAATCTATAACTTATATTTTTTTTCACTCTTTTCTTAAAATTGATCGTTTTTAAATTATGAAGAAAAAAAATCACTTGCAGAGAGACTAGAAAATTGCTATTTTTTCATGCGTCAGCATATGTGCAAACCATTTAAAAATCGAATTTTTGAATAAAATTTTCGGAATTATACTTACAAATCAGAAATGTTCAATCCTTGTCCAAATTGTCGATCAGAGTAAGCTAATGCACTGGACTTTATCAGTTCTCCTATAATGCTTTTCCTGCTCCTACATGTAATAAGGGAACAACAAGACTTAATATTTAGGATCATATACATAAAATCATAAAAAAAATATCAGTATCTAAATTATCAAAAATGAATATGTTTTCAAAATAAGCATTAATATATATCTTAAATATGGTAATCATAATCATTATTTACCTTGAGAATCCTGGAATTTCCTCATTTGAATCATGGGTGTATGTAAGATGTTGACATACACATATCAACATTATGATCAACACACTTTTCCCAAGAAATGGCATCATGAATTTCTATTCAAAAGATAACTAATTTGAGAACATACAATTTATCTTATTTTTAATTGTAGGAAAATAAGATCAAATATTGCTGTAATTTGAACATAAATTTTGATCATGACATCACTTACTTTTTCTATTATATTTTTTTTCTTCCACAAGTTTTAGGATGTTTGGCATGTTTCATTCAGTTTATGTTTTAAATAGTGAAGCATAAAATTTATGTGTCTCTGTTCCCGCCCGCAAATATTTCAATCCTCCCTCATTGGTCATTGCAACACGTGGTTAGGTGGCAATCTTACCCGATTTCTGTTTACAGTTAGTACATGTACTTTACAAATGAGACTCTAAAACCTCACGATCTTGGACTGTTTTCCATCCCACGACTATCTTCAACAAAATGAAATAAATGAAATGTTCAAAGCACAAAAATTTATAAATTGGTAAATTTTTGGTCACAAATACATGGTCATTCATGCATCATCCATGTGAAAAAGAATGTTTGAAAAGCTAAACAACTAAAAACTAAATGTAGTATAAATAAAATGCAAATAATATGAATAAAATCTCTTTGACTTTTGTTTAGAAAATTAGATTGATATATATATATATATATATATATATATATATATATATATATATATATATATATATATATATATATATATATATATATATATATATATATATATATATATTACAAACAGATGGTTCCGAATATAATTATAAAAAATTCCTACACATGTCATAATCTAGTTGGAAAAAAACCTCAGTGCAAAGAATATGGGAGCAAATGGCGTAATATCTGAAGGAATTAGGTGCACAAAACATTTATAGTATAACTACGACTTGTTCGGCTGACCACAGCTGGACATACTTTACGAATTACGCACATAAGACAATGTAACATTAACATTCAAATTCCTTGTAAAATTTTCCACTGATCTTCATACTACACGATAATATAGTAACAATTCACATAAATATTAAATACCTATAAGTTAATAGGCAATAATTTAATGCAATTACATCTATATTAAAGTTTCAGTAATGTGGAAGAATTGTATTCTCTCAAGGTGCAACTGAACCAAATTTTATTTTAAAATTTTAATAAAAAAAGTATTTTTAAAAATTACACTAACAAACGACTTGATTTCCTAAACGTTCCTTGCGAAGATCGAATTACAAAACTTCTCGACTTCCTATTGCTCTGGTCCCTTTATACATAATCCTGAAATATCATCACTATACAAAGTATATTGATTTTAAAGCTACAATGAAGCATGGCATTTAAACAATTCGGATTTTTTTCCCCGTTAAAGTTTATTTTTATGGTCTCTGGGTCTTATATATATCTATATTTATATATTATTAGTGTTTATTTTTATTCAGAGCAAACATAAATTTGGGTTTCGTTTAAAGACCATTAAGTAATTTTATGGATGTTTTTCATAAAACTTTCAGTTAAAAATTGTTTTACAGCAAGAAACAAAGTTTATTCTCCATTATTTTGCTTAAGAGCAGCAGGTGGTTGACCTTGTGAAGATCAATTTTTGAAGGACGTGCATGAGCTTGTTGTATACTCTATTATTGATCCAGTAATGTCAACAAGTAAAGCTGTTGCATGCTAACCGAAATAATGTTAAATTCACAATTAGTGAATTTAAAAACCGTAAATTAAAGTTACCCCTTTCTTTAGTAATATAAAGTATTAACGTCTAAATCTCATTGAAAGTAGGCGATAATCAATAACAAAGTGAGTTATTTAATTTAGAAGTCTAGTCTTGCCAAATAATTACAGGACAAAATTTCGACATGAATATCTATAGTAATTTAACATTATAATCTTAATTTCAGACTCCATTCATTCACCAAATTATCATTTAAAAGAAAAAAACATATTACATGTAGGTACAACCTCCTAAATACCGAGGACGTTAGATGGATATTCTAAGCCCATAATTAAAGGAAGACTAGGTTTCCACGAGAACAATACATGCCCATGAGATATCATTGTCCTTGTTATTTTCAACATTGGCATGCCTTTAAAACAGGTCTTTGTTCTTTAGACATCCTTCTTCTTTCTTTTTGTGCATTTATAATTCTCTTGAAATCTTCATTCAATCAGGTCATGATAAGTAATATTTTTGAGTCTGAACCTTTATTTTTGGGATCAAAGCACTGGATACCTATATTAAGGGGAAAAGTAAAAATTCTTCTCTAGAAAAGGATCACTTCCTTATAAATATAGCGACAACATATTGGGCCGGAATTAATTTCAGGCTTTACATACAATTTAAAAAAAGTTGATTTACGTTCCGATCAATGACTTTAAGCTACAGACCTGCATTCGTGCACTAGTTTAATGTTTGTTTTTTTTTTGCCTCAATTTATTTCTAGTTAATGCATGTAATAAATAGAATTAGTAGGAACCTTTCAATTGCATTAACTATGTAACATGACATTATAGACTCATCTCGAAATTTTGTTTGATGTTTTTCTCTTTACTTTTAATTGTAATATTTTTCTTAATTATTTTTTTCATCTTTGCTTATTTTACAACTTTTTCTTAGAAATGATATAACTATTTCATTGGTGAATACAAATTTCATAAAAGAAATCCAAGAGAATGCAATTACTGATATGTAGCTCTCCTGTTTCAAACCCTGAGATCTGAATTTAGAACATTGACTACAAAAGTGCATGTTACTGTAGATATATTAAGCTCAAATACAAGAAATACCTATACTTTCTAGCTACATATTAAAGAAAAGCATTATTTTTACAAATAGGATTAAAGCAAATACACTGTATTGATTAAATTCTAAGGAATGTATACAATAGAATTTAATCAAACTTGTACTGAGTAACACAGAGTGAATATTTCTTGTGTGCTATACTAAGGTATTGTTTTGCTTGACTGTTTTTTTATTTTATACTACGATTTGCTTTATCTTAAATGATTTTGTCTAAAGAATGGACATGCATAAAACGACAAAAAATTACAGAAACTACAAATTAAGAACAATGTTTCAAAAGGCAATAATCTAAAACTTTTAAAGCGTGGCTCCCGTACAGGTTGATTCGAATTACGAATTCAAGTGGTGTTAATAGTCGGCGGTGATACTATTCCGGCTATTCTAGCCATGAAAATAGATAAGTGATATGAATATGAACTATGAACAACTTTGTCGAGAACAGTTCTCCTTATTCTTCGACTTTTTTGTGGATTTCGACCATAAAGAGAGAGTGTCCCTCAAAAAATCTTATTTCAATTTATTTCTTAGATCACAATCCATATAAATACCATAACCTTTTAGGGATAGGCTTGCGCCTAAGGACTTATGGACCATAATTTCCGCAAAATCCGTACGGTAACTGAGAAAATGCTATTCTGGCCACTTTGAATGTTAATTCTAGTAGTGCATATAACATGTGTGGATACTTAAAAAAACTCCAGAGAATTCTTAGAAAATTTGAAGTCACAAAATTTAACGAAAATCAATAACGTCAAAGAATTTGCCTTTTCAACACATTATACAACTATTCCCCACGATACATTAGAGTGTATTCAATTAAGACATACCGTGTCACACTAGTGTTCAATATTCGTATACATACTGAATGAACTCTAGAAATCAAAATTAAACATCTTGTGTTGTATAGTGTTTATTTAAATATGGCGGGTTTGAACCCAGAAAAAGCGTGTTTATTCACATTTATCGCTAATAAACTTGCTGAAGTAAATGAGCAAGAGTCTGATCAAGATATAAACGACCTTATGATTCAGTTTTTATCTAGTCAATCCATCGTTAGAGAAAATGTACCACTAGTTGACAAGTTCCAAAAATTTACTTAAAATTGATTTAAGAAAACACTTTCGTTAAAGTAAGGAAACGTTTCATGAAATTGTACTAGAAATTGGTCCTGAAATTGGAAAAGAAGATAGAACCAAAGGGAAGAGTCCACTTACAGCTGAAAAACAAATTTTAATTTGCTTTTGGTGCAACTCTACCAGCATGCGAGAAATAGCTCTATTGTTCGGGGTGTCTACTTTCACTGTTTGCATAACATTCGTGTGTGGCGCACTTTGCACCGTTCATATCCGAGTGATAGCATGGGCAGATGTGGACAGACAAGAAGAAATATCACATTTTTTTTCGAAATTGAGAGCGGAATTCTTAGATGGAGTAATCGACGGTACTCACATCATGTTGAATGGAATTCCTAGAGGAGATATAGGTTATATAAATAGAAAGGGGTATCCCTCCTTACAATTACAGGTAGCTATGCATGATTTAAGATTTTTTACTGATACCTTGTTGGGTTGGCCAGGGTCCACATGTGATGCTAGGTTTTTTAGAAACTCCACAATTGATAAATTGAAGCTACATTTAACCAAATGAAAAAGCCGTTTTAGTATGTGTGCATGAAATTATAATATCTTTATATTTATAGTACCTTGTGATCTCAACATTTCTACGGTGTTAGCATTAGCTAGAGCTATGTAGTAAATGGCGTCTATAGTCAAGTTGATCTGAAAACTAAAAAGAAAAAAAGAATGTCAAAATATAAATGTTGTAGAATTTTTTCATGGACGTTGTAAATTTCTAATACAAACACTGACAAATTATTGCAATAACAATTTTCACACTTTCATTGCGTCTTCACTCTCCGCCATTTTTTCACTTGTTACTCCAGGTAAACTGAGTAGTATACTCACATAACACAGGTTGGCCGCTCTTGTCGAAAATGTCCTTTTTTATTTACAACTCCAGTAATTCGTGTAACTCGTGTCGCTTAATTGAATACACTCTCAAAGTCCAGGCTTTTTAATATCATAAATTGCTGCTTTTGCAATAAAAATGGAACTCGTAAATTTACTCATCTTGTCATTGGTCGTTTGTAAAATTTCTATGAAAAAAGATATTATGATTGTACTCACAAGACTCGTAAGTTGAGATCGAAAAAATGATTGG